GGAATACGAGCCCCAGAGATAAAAAATCTTATTCAATCACAAAAAATATCATGGATTAAAAGACTCACCAACTCAGATTCAAAAGTAAGGAAATTGCTACAAACGAAGACACATTGGAACATCGACAGCTTTATACAAACATGCGAAACACACATACTTGAATCAGTAATAACACAAGAAACAAATCGCTTTTGGAAAGACACTTTGAAATCATGGGGTAAATTCGTAACCAGAAAAGCAGAAAAAGCAAAAAATGCATGTGATATTTTATCCCAACCCTTATGGTTAAATGACAATATTAAAATAGATGGAAAACCAAGCAATTATAAACATTATTCAAGCAAAGGATTACTTATATACACGACATGTTTGACGTCCAAGGTAACTTTTTAACGGTGGAACAATTAAAAAAATCGTTTTGGTGCAAAACTAACTTCCTAGAGCGTCAAGGAATAGTGGAATCAATTAAATACTACTGCAAATCCATAAACATCCATATTGAAGAGAAAATCCAAGCTCCGATCTTGCCCTATCTTTTACGAAATATAGTAGGAAACCCAGAAGGATGTAGAGATATCTATGACATACTCAAAAATGGTAAATCTAGAAAGCCTTTAACATATCGAAACAAGTGGCAAAAAGAACTTAATGAGTCTATTGACGATAGAAAAAACAACCTTTAAATGGTATAATAGTGTAACACACTCGTGGTTTCAATACAGCATTTTACATTGGTTTCTGCCAACAAATGATTTGCTAACAAAAATTAAATATAAAGATTCCAACACATGCACATTTTGCAAATCCGAGGAAGAATCAATTCTACATCTATTTTGTGACTGTAAAGTCATAAAAAACTATTTGGAAGAAAATAGAAGAATGGATATTCGAAAAAACAGGGTCAAATATTATCTTTTCAAAGAAAAATATTATTCTAGGATATTGTGAAAAGAGAAACCATGCTCTGAATTTGATAATAACAGTAGTGAAATATAATATATACAAAATGAAACAAAGAGATAAAACACCAAATGTGAACTACATTATAGAAGACGTAAAGACAACATATTATGCTGAACGTTTTAATGCCTATTCAAATTGCAAATATGACAGCTTCACAAAATTTTGGTCACTACGTCAAAATCTGTTCTGTTAACCTAGCGCTATATATAATGTACTGCTATTATATTTTCAAGTACCTATTCATTTCCACCTGAATGCACATTTGCCTGTAAATCGACTTTGTATATATTTGCGAATCATGTTTATACCAACCCGTTATGTAATGAACTGTATGACCTGGATGTATGGAGAATCAAAACTAAAAAATTATAAAACCAAAAACACCAGTGTTCCCATAAACTCCTTCTTGTTTTGGGGATCTGGGAATTTTTAAATAGGACTCATGTTCCCTTGTTCGAGCTGTACCAGACTTTGTCCTATATTGATGAGAGCGACACTAAACAACAAACCAGCCCGCTACCTTGTGTCAGTGGGTAATCGAGACTGTTGACGTTATATGTTATGAATATCTGAACTTTGATAACGCCGCAGTTAGCAATAGTCCAACTGTAAAACACACACACACACACACACACACACACACACACACACACACACACACACACACACACACACACACACACACACACACACACACACACACACACACACACACACACACACACACACACACACACACACACACACACTAAAAAAGGAGAAACAAAAGAGGAACTCGATTTTCCATTGGAGGTAGCACTTTGCTTTGAAACAAAATGTTTCACCTTCCAAATTTATTCAGGTGTTGGATGGGTTAAGCAGAATTTCTTCCTTGTTGAAAATTTCCATTTGGGCTTTAAATCCATCCCTACACTGTACCCAAGGAAATTGAAATCTGTACAAACACACTGGAGGTCACTGGCAAACGTGATTTTATGCTGCTGCTGTATATGCAGGGAACATGAAGGTTGGTGTTTTGCATCACGTTTCTAAGATATGGCGTCTGTATATATTTGATTACTAGATTTATACGTATTGCTTACTTGGTCCATTTCGATTTTAGGCAAGCAATGGATAGTCTATCGGTAGTCGTGTTATTTCCAGGGGCGTAGCTTCCATTAAGAAAATAAGCCCGAGCGTACACATGATTGTTGCTAAAACGGTTTGGCAAGCCATCAATACTATCTAAATATAAAGCTTGGCAACCCATCGGGCTAACACGAAAGTATTGGCTTGCTACGCGCCTGATTTCCTCCATCATTGAGTTTAGTTCATGCTGATGATGTGTCCTTGTTACTTGTCACGTCCTCTAATCTATGTAACAACATGTGAAACCCTCCTGTACAATATACCTACCTTCCAGGCGTCTGTTGTGCTCTACGTGTCTGCATGCATACTGGCGGAAGCCGAACTCGGTTCTGTGAAAGGTACATCACTTCTCATATCATTATGTGAAAATACTTCCAGATTTGCTAGATTTATATTATTAAAGCAACTGCAAAGGGCAAAGTCATTACAGTAAAATTAAAGTAATACTAACTCTGACAGTTTTCTCTCTTTGTTCAACGTCTCCCATGGGAATGATGCCTCTTAACTGTAAGTCTGTGCACAGAAAATCTGACTTTGTTTTATTATTTCAGATGATACAAAATGTCAGGATACACATTCTTCGTGTAAGTCCGCCAGCTGTGACAGCCCTGGTATTGCGGATAGCTGCCCGATGACATGTGGACGCTGTAACACCACAGGTTAATAACGTTCCTATATTTCTCTATCAGATTCAATAGAGCCATCGAATATACACCTGCTAGCAGCAAACCAGCCATTGTGGGTTTCACCGAAGTGGTATGTTTCGACGACTTAAGTTAGTTTGGGATTTATAAGCATGTTGATGTCACACAGTTTGACGCGAAGTCATCCATCCACAGCTGTCCCTGTGTGCACAGTGAATTTTACATCCTTTAAATTCGTAATGTTTAATGTGTCAGGAGATTACTTACACGCTGAACAGTTAAAACACTCTCTTCTTCTATCTCAAATAAACACGACAAGTTACCTCGAATAAACTCGTAGAATCCTTTGCATCATAATGTTACTTCGGGCGTCTATTCATTGTTAAAATATTCAAATATTTCTTTGCTGCAAAATCACTTACAGGATGCTATGAAAACCCCTATATTGTCTATTCCCTCTATTGTCAAATGCCTCTATAGTGCATTAAAAAAAATCAGTTCCATTTCATACCATACTAACATCAGTAGTAACCAGTATCCTTAAATATGTGTAAAGTGTGAACACCTTTCATGAGAATATTTGTTTCCCACCAAATTGATTGAAATATATGCTAACTTTCCTCTGTCAGGATTAACAAATCTGCAGGTATAAGGCCGAGTGGAATATATGCTGACAATTCTCTGACAGGATGAAATCCTCTGTAGGTATAAATCACTCCGGAGGCCTCGTCTGTCGAGCCACAGATTGTCCATAAACGTTCGGACGTAGCTAACATAAATAGTTATTCACAATTTATTTATTCAAATACAATATTTTGTAAAACCTCGTCTGACTTGAACTGGTTTAATACAACGACGATTCTGTTATTCAGTGAACTGTGAACGTGGACAGTACTGGAATGGCAGCAGCTGCGAGGAATGCCCGGATAGAGTGCCTCCTGAGTACAGCGGGAAGTGTCCTTGTACAATACCTGGGAGATGGGGAGTAAACTGTGAACATACGTGCAACAAATGGTGTTTGGATGGTAATTGTGACCCCATTTCTGGTGAATGTGCAAACTGTCCACGGAACAGATATGATCAGAAGTGCGACAAAACATGTGACAACTGTGGTAACTGTACAGACACACCCTCAGACTGTCACCGCACAAATGGAACCTGTCTGTGTGGATGTAGCCCTGGATTCTTTGGACGTGCATGTGGACAGCGATGCGACAGTAACTGTAGATCCAAGTCATGTAACTCCTCTGGAATCTGCATTAATGGTTGTAAGGAAGGATATTTCGGACCACAATGTGAGAAAACATGTGGAGCATGTGTGGATAAATCTTGTTCAAGAATAGGTAAATGTTTAAAAGGTTGCAACAGTGGATGGCATGGTAAGGAATGCTACACACACTGCAGTAACAAATGTGAACATTCAAACTGCCATCAGAACGGAACATGCATGGAGTGCTTGGATGGTTTTCATGGCAACCAATGCAAGGAAAACTGTTCTGCTGGATGTGCCACGAAACGGTGTAACAGGAATGGAAGCTGTCAATGCAGAAAGGGGTATTTTGGCCACCAGTGTCGTAATACCTGCAGTGTAAATTGTCTTAACACAAGTTGTAGTCAGACATCTGGGGAATGTGAGTATGGTTGTGTACTGGGGTGGTATAGACCGACATGTAGTACCAGATGTCCTGACAACTGTGCTGCTGGTGCCTGCAACAGATACGATGGCTCATGTTTGTCTTGTAGGGTTGGATTCAGGGGTACATATTGTAACATGTCCTGTCCTCGACATTGTGTTGAATGTGACCAGAATGCCAGCAACTGTATGTCGTGTGAGCCTGGTTATTTTGGAAACACCTGTGGAGAAAGGTGCAACGGTTGCCTTAATGGGAGTTGTAACATCACAGATCGATTCTGCATTGACGGATGTAAACCAAGTATATATGGGCAAGAATGGCAGTCCAATTGCTGCAGAAACTGTTTGAAGCAGAATGGTGTCCTATTGTGTTTTCAAAGTAACGGCACGTGTGTCTATGGTTGTCGCAGCGGCTTGTGCAAGGCAGAATGCAACGGAAGTACATGTGGTGGAACCCCTGGTTCCGGCGTCAAAGGTGAGAACCATAGATTCAAAATATCATAAATAGATGCAAGGAATGACAGACAAGCGTTCAGCACTCCTTCACGTGCAACCACTAAAAATATATTCAGTTCCCTAGACATGATAATGCGCGATAGAAGAAAGCAAGAATATTTATGTTAAAACTCCATATACTGTATGTTAAAAAAGTCCTAGAATCTTTACTTTACTAATGAACAATCATTGTCTTAACACAAGTTGTAGTCAGACATCTGGGGAATGTGAGTATGGTTGTGTACTGGGGTGGTATAGACCGACATGTAGTACCAGATGTCCTGACAACTGTGCTGCTGGTGCCTGCAACAGATACGATGGCTCATGTTTGTCTTGTAGGGAGAGATTCAGGGATACATATTGTAACATGTCCTGTCCTCGACATTGTGTTGAATGTGACCAGAATGCCAGCAACTGTATGTCGTGTGAGCCTGGTTATTTTGTAAACACCTGTGGAGAAAAGTGCAACGGTTGCCCTAATGAGAAGTGTGAAATCACAGATGGATTCTGCATTGACGGATGTAAACCAAATTTGTTTGGGCGAGAATGTCAGTCATGTCACTGTCTAATGCCCCGATGTAACGTTACGGGGTTATGCACAGGGTGTCAGAATGGCTACTATGGCCAGAGATGTTCCTCTACATGTCCACCGAGGTGCGATACCTGTGAGCAGTATACTGGCGACTGTGTGACTTGTGTGGAAGGCTGGCGCGGTCATATGTGCAACGGTAAGCATAGCTAAAAGTTGATTCTTAGTCTTCTTGCAACGGTCATTCTAAAAACGTTTAACATTCACACACAGGGTATTCTCCTGATTATTTTAAGCCATCGACCTATATGGATTAGTATTGTTGTCTTCAAACCCGTATTTCAAACACTGAAAAGTGAATCAGGCTAGGCGGAGCTTTATCAGTATTAAGTAAGTGAGTGAGATTGGTTTTGAGCCGTTTTTAGCAATATTCTAGCAATACCGCCGCTGGGAACACCAGAAAAATGGGCTTCTCACATTGTACCCACATGTCTTTGGCGTGACGACCGAACGCTTTCACCACTAGGCTACCTTACCGTCCCACCCATAAGGACGTGCCAGCCTAGCTGGTACTGTGATTGTATCCTGCTTGTGACAAGGAAATTAGCCAGCCTATGTACAATGTCTCAGTAGTATGCCCCGCCGCATTGAAGCCTGCATTGCTGCTCATGGTGACTTGACAAAATACTAACTGTTCACCTGTCTTTGAATCTGAAATTATGTTCTGCTAATATTCACATTTAATACGTGAGTAATGAGTGAAAAAAATATAACAAATTACAATCTTTAAATTCTCAATAATATCTGGTTGTACTGTACAATGTCTCCCTCTTTTTAACCATGTTGTTAACACCACATGTGTACAGTGCATTGGTAGCATCATGGACTCGTTCGTTCACCTCAAACACAAGTGTTATAACTTGTCGTTTCTTCATTGGCAAATGCCTTGTTCACATATGCCTCTGTTCATAATGATGTAACATTATGATGTAGTCTATTGAACAGGTTGATGTACCTCCATTAATGTCGAATTCAACTTTTTTTAGTGTCATACGTAAGGTCAGTTCGTCAGCTGGTCCGTGTCTTGTCATCATGCATTGGCGTCGTACTCTTTAGTGCTGTCATTGTAGCTGCATTTATCATCATCAGGTAATACATTGTATTTTCTTGTCCTTAAAGCAGTGTATCAAGATCAAATGCTATTCTGTATTTAGAGACTTAGAATGCGGGGAACGGTAACCTTTAACGTAAAAAATATGAATTTTACATTGCTATCACATCTCGCTAGGAGAAGAAGTAGAAGTATACCATCATTAACTTTGCAGTAGAACCTGATATTTATCTACAAATATTGACCCTGAATTTAATTTATTAATTTGATTTTCCAGAAAAAAGTGCACTGGATCGCCAAGGGGCATTTATCTCTCCCCTGTCCGAACTGACCACCTTGTATCGGATGACATTTCTCTGCAAGAGTTCAGTGACAACGGGGAAAGTGAACAATCTCAGTACGAAACTATTCCCGATAATTCACAGGCAGGATACGAGGCGCTTTCGCCATCAACTTCACGCACTTCCGGGTACACAGCTCTGCTGCAGTCGGCTGAAAATGCCCGGGTGACAGCAGACTAATATTTTCAACGCACATCGTTCTGTTTCACTTGTTGGGCTGTTGGTTCAGTTACTGATTCGTCTTCCATGTTTCGGCTGACACATTCTGAAACTGGGTTAATATCCTAGTATATACAAAAGGCAGATGTCAAAATATTTAACATCCTCAGTGACTTTTCTGTCAAGTGTTACAACTCCAAGTGGCCGTGTCTTTTTCTTGTAACTTTATAGTCTAAAAGACATTTTGTCCCATATACGAGTTCCAATTCATAGAGCACTATCTATTCATCTTCCTATATCATAACTCAGAATTTCAAATTGATGACCATTGAAACCTGATTTTCCAGAGAGACTCAATTGCAAATTACTCATAATTTGGAGTCATTTGGTTATCACAAACATTATTGTACCACCTGAACCATTGACGAATGTACGTGTTGTTAATGCTTGGGTGTGGACCTCTCCATATAATTGTACTTAGTATGAATTCACAGAGCTATATTTATCACGTATTTTAGTATTTGAAGACAAACCAATTGTAGGTAAACTAAAACATATGTGTATACATCCATATGCTTCAAACTGGACATATTCCTGTCATATACAATCATGTACAAAGATTTAATCTCACTTCAACTCGCTAGAGCTTATTGGTCTAAATGCAGTCCGTCGTCAGCCCGCCATCATTCAAAGCTTTGTATATTATAGAGTTGACTCTCATGCTGTATAGTTAAAATCGAATTCTTGTCAAATAACAGCAGGATTTGGATTCCATAATTATTGGGATGTACAATATTATTTTGCTTAAAGCTAACGTTTATGTGTAAAATATATATAAATGTAATAATTCTCCACAAACATTAGTGTTATGCGATTTAACTACCTTAATGCCAGCCTTATGACACAAGGCAGTCTCTCCATGAATTTAGTGGAAATGAGTCTGTTGTGTATATAGTTATATATTGTCTATCAGATGCAGACTTTAACGATCTCTCTCTATGAATATAGTGGAAATGAGTCTGTTGTGTATATAGTTATATATTGCCTATAAGATGCAGACTTTAAAAATCTCACTATGAATATAGTGGAAATGAGTCTGTTGTGTATATAGTTCTATATTGTCTATCAGATGCAGAGTTTAACAATCTCTCTCTATGAATATAGTGGAAATGAGTCTGTTGTGTATATATTCATATATTGTCTATAAGATGCAGACTCGCGCTTCTGAACTTTGAGGTTTCACCAGCTGAGCTCAGTAATGCGTCTATATTTATAATACTTGCTTATTGTGTATATTATTAAGAACGAGTAGATGTTTACGTGGACAGTGACATATTGATTGTACTTATGAAACCGTATTTTACAATCAAATCAACTTTCTATTCATGTTTCCTGTTCGAAATACTTGCACGCATACAAGTGGTTTGAGTTTTTCGTTTTCTCTGATTAACCACTGAGACAGACTTGTGGCGATCAACTTAAACTCAATTTATATAAAACGTACGTGCATATATTCACATTCGACAACATTTAGGTACAATATATATTCATATTTCTGTTATATACGCTGTGTATATCGTGAGCTGCTGTTATTTGCGAATAATAAAATCCTCCTGATTTAATGCGTGTTTTGATTCAAATTTGATTTTGAATTCATTATCCAGTCGATTATCCATTGTTTGAATTAGAAGCGTATACGTAGTTTATATACATACGCTTTCATCTCTTAGTCGCTCCTAGGCAGTGGAACGCAGTGAAGTGGTTTGGGCGTTCACCAGCCCAAGGCGTGTGTTTAAGTCCAATACTAGTAGCGCCGTTTATACATTGCTGGAATATTGCTCGAAGCGGCAAACACTTTACCCACTCACTGACTCACATAAATGCTGATCAGGTACATATCATGTAACGATGCCAGTGTGAAACTTTTAGGCTCAAGTTCCTTTTCGTATAACTAACAGTAACCAATACTGAAGTTGTTTCGACACGAATCTACATCGAAAAGTATGAGGTCTGCAACTAAGTTGGTTGGTTAGTTGGTTGGTTTGCTGTTTAACGCCGCACTCAGCAATGTTCCAGCTATATGGCGGCGGTCTGTAAACAATCGAGTCCAGACAATCCAGTGATCAACAGTTTGAGCATCAACCGATGCAATTAGGATACTATGGCATGTGTCAACCAAATCAGCGAGTCTGACCACCCGATCCCGTTAGCCGCCTCTTACGACAAGCATGTGTTGCTGAGAACCAATTCTAACCCTGATCTTCACTCGTGATATATGGAAAGATCCATATAGGAATACGGTTTAGCAGTTGTTTCCAGCCCCGCTGTATATATTCATTCATCTTCCCTCATCACCTCATCAAGGCATATAGGAAAGTACAGTTATACGTCTTGGCATGTTTATCAGCCTCGAGAAGGATAGTGGCAGCAGTTCAGAACTATCTACAGTTCGCGGAATGTTGTCCAGTTCTGACAGATATCTTAAGTCCAGTCACTACTGTTCATCACTGATCAAATCACTGGTCATCAAAACAAAACAAACAGTACTAAAGTGTGACAGTATGAGTAACCTTCCTGGCCGTGATGAATCTATTCCTGACGAGGAATTAAACCAACGTGGTCCTCACGATCCTGAATCTATTGTGAACACCATGTGGTGGAACAACCCTGCTCATTCTGCGATTCGTAGCATCAAATTACACACTGACATTAAATGTGGAATATTACACTAAAAAAGGTTCAGATGGGAAGGAATTACATGGAACACACACGTGTCGAAAACATTTCAAAGATGTAATTTTTGGGGTATCCGTAACATGAACCCCAACGTGATGAGAGTGCCCTGCATCCTCTGACAACCTGTACTCAAGCCTATGTCCTTCAGGGTAATCCAGCCCAGATCCATCCTTCTGTATATACAAACACAGAGGAACTATTCATCAAATGTTACTGGTTCAAACGGCAAACTGCTGGTAAAAGTAAACTCAGTTCTGTTATGAGAAGAATGTCAAAAGATTCTGGTTTCGGAAAAAGGAACTAACTAAGAAAAGAAAGAAAATTTCAGCAAGAAAATACTTAGTCCAAAATCTGTGCGACATCAATTGCCTCAAATCATGAAACTAAACTTCTTGGAATGTGCAGATATATTTGACGTCACAAATATGTGCGTACTAATACGTTACGTCCCAAGATCGGTGACACAATTGTTTACTGATCACACAGTTAGGTCATCTAGTTCCCAGTAAGTTTTTATGTTAAAGCACGTATTGTCGTCAACCGATCTTAGCTTACGTTTGAAAAATAACAACACACTCGTATGGGACTTCAGACACCTTTAATTAACCTTTTGAACAACAAAATCACTTTAATGTTCGCGTGACATGTTATGCTTGCCAACACTGACAGTCTGTCGGGGAACTGGTGTTGGTATTTTCGTAAGCCTATGAATTTCTATCTTCGCTTCGTAATCCTCTCCATTACCAGACATGGATCAGATGTCTATTACCAGACCTACTTTTTGGATCAAAGCACTGACAGTACGGCCATCAATCCGGACGCGATCGCCGATAGATGGGTGTGACGCCATGTTTGTTTACACTGTGAAAGTAGTCCCTAAAATTTGCATATGACCTCTCTTATTTGCATCGATATCCGTATAGGACCACGACGGATACCATTAGGTCTTCGTAACATGATGAGTGTCATATGTATACGCTCATCAAAAACGGTGTGGGGTACCAGGAGGCAGGCTCCGTTGCTTGGAAACATAGCTAAGAAGCGAAAGCCAGATAAATGGTATCTGGCGGACACCTGTATGTAACCTGTGCCAGTGGGTCATCGAGCCTGGCGTTGACGTTTTATTCTGCTATGACCCCTGCTTCAAGTGACAAATATAAGGGCTGGTCAAAATGTCGGCAGTGTATGAGTGAGTAACTGAACGTTGATAACGCCACAGTCAGCGTTAGCCCAAATACAATGAATGATTTTTTTGTATTTCCTCAGTTTCAGGGAGGAACATGCATTGATATTTAGAAACAGCATGGAACCATTTTCATTATCAAGAGAAATCCATAAAAAACACAACATATTTTCAAAAGCATTAATATCAGAAATATATGTGGCTTTTGTTCACAGTTTATGTAATATTTCAGTGTCTCATTTCGTAGCTTTATTCTGTGGTGTATAAGTTTTTAAATTAACCACACGGCGAGGCCAATAGGTGAATCAAAATTAATGCTTTTAGATGGGTTATACTGTCACATTTATGTAGTAGCGATACTTTTTCAGTTTTTCATACATTACACTAAGGATTACATATAAGTTTAATCAGATTTTTTAAGTTAATCGACCCTAAAGACATCTAACGCTGTCTGGCATTAGTCATATAAAAGGGTTGTGTTAGAACTAGTAAACTAGCTGTTCATGTGAGATGCGACATATTTCACACATGGTTTATTGCATCCAAACTCTCATCTTGCATCATTAACCCTATATATAGCATTCACTGTCACCTTCCGTAATTGTGCTACCGAAGGTCAGTTAGTAAACTAAATACCCCGTGGCGTACAAGCAACTGTTTTGTTGTTTGTGTGCTTGTTGTTTAATGCTGCACTCAGTAATGGTCCAGCCATATGACAACAGTCTGTAAATATTTGTTCGGCAACACAATCCAGTGATTGATATCATGAGCATCGACCTACGCAACTGGGGTACGATGACATACAACGTTAGTGGCGGCGGTGCACATTGTCGTTAAGCTACATTTTTTATGACTTACCATAGTTTAAGAAGCTGAAATTGTAACCTAAGTTAAACGAAAGAGAAAATTGTCTTACTTGTATTTGAAATGCCTCCCCATGTTCAGTGCTAAACCACGGTTACATGCTATATGTTCAGAGAGACACTCGTGTTGACGAAATCTAGCGCTGGAAACTGGTCATTGATATCAGACCCAGGGACACCTAACCTTCAAAAGGAGGAATGTACTTGTGATTCTGAATCCACAGATAGACCTCCCTCCAAACAACAAAGGTTCACTAAGTGAAAAAAGACAAAAACTTATCATACACAGTTTAACCCGTCATGGTCCAAAAAAGTATTCTTCTATCGTAGTAGCTATCATTTCTATGTCGGGTCGGTGGGATAGTCTAGTAGTTAAAGCGTCCGTTCGTCACGGGTTCGATTCCCCTCATGGTTAGAATGTGTGAAGCCCATTTTTGGTGTCCCCCGTCGTGATATTGTTGGAATATTGCTAGAAGCGGCGTAAGATCATACTAACTCATAGCATTTCTATGTCAGTTTATATAAATATATAACGTCAACGCCAGACGCTCTGTCGCGAAACAGATTCAACAGGGCATAAAGGGGTTTGGGTAAAGATAATATCAATTGATCACTGAAAATCAATGCTGCTTGCGGAAAGGGTATATATAGTATGTTCTGCCCTAGTGGTAGCACTTGCCACTCGTCCAATTTGCATAAAAACGTAAGCGTGTGTTGCCTGACACCTAACGACAATTCTCCTGCCATGCAATGGTAAAGTGCCAGGTTACCGTACATATGATGGACCAGACAACCAATCACATGAGAACGCATTTTTTGTCTTTACTGAAAAATAGATAACTCTAGTGGAGGATTCTGCAATGACATGAAATGAAACTCGTTCGTATAAACCGTTGGCTCGTCGATTCCCCACATGGATACAATATGTGAAGTCCATTTCTGGTGTCCCCCTCCGTAATATTACTGGAATATTGCTAAAAGCGGCGTAAAACCATACTCGCCATCACTCACTCACTCCCTTCCTCTGTACGGAGAGCTAGAGGTCGATGATTATACTCCGCGGTAAGACATGCTAACACGGTAAAACCGACTTTATTCATGGCACATACAACCAGCAAATCTTCACCTTACTCCATTCGATGCCATTCACATGAGGTAAGGCATCCTGGATTATGTTAAGGATTTTGACAATAATATTAAAAAAATCAAATGATCAATTTAAATCTCTTCAAAAACAGACACAATATTACGATTTCGAGTATGAGCATGTCATGAGCATGTGTTTATGAATAGCTGTCAAATGATGATGATACAATGTGTTTGCAAAATGGCAAGTGTTTTCAGCCCAACCTATGGCACCCGTCACAAACACATGTAGAGGCAAGGCAATTGTTCACCGGAAACAATCCATGTTATAAGAGATATCAATGTCAGAGTAAAAGCTTTACACGCTTTAAATGCGAGTTAAATACGACGATATCTTGCGTGGATACATATACAGCATAATGTTCTTTATATGGATAAAAGATTTTCAGTCCCGTCAACAGTATAGTGTGATGGAGGTGCGAAAAAACGAGGTTTTTGAAATATCAGCATTGTATGAAAAAATCCATTAAATTCAAGGTAACACCAACATATGCCTATAAGACATGTATAAACATGGATACACGTGTGTCTGTGTGTATGTACTGTAATGTATGACTATCATCGCCTATATTCCTCGTGAAACCTACTGTCAGTCGTGGCTATAGAAAGTCTAAATAGCGACATATAATCACCACAGTCAGTTTCAATGTCCCGATTAGTAAGCGACTTAAAAGCGACCTCAGTGCATGTTCGTCAACAATGAAGGTAACTGGAGTTAAGGAATATTGACATGCTTCTAGATTATACTATATCACTGTGCTTTTACCATTCACATCCGATGAAGGATTATACAATTGCAAGTTCGTCGCATGTGTGCAATCCACATCATTTTGATGTTTTTGTTACAGCCATTGCGTTTGATTGACGAGACAACAGATCTGAGATGTATTATCTGCCTGTACACACTTGTAGCAGCCATAACTGGAGGTCAGACAGGTAGGTAATGGACAGAGTGATTTCAGCATCTAGGAACAGATTAAAGTGTAAGTAAATGTACATAGCACACAATCTTGGCATCATCTGTGGTCTAACGATAAAATGGCCATTGATTATCATCAATGGAGCATACCAATAAATAGCTTGACAACCGGAACGAGAAATATGAAAGATCAGTGCGACTTGGTCGCCTGTTATATTTAGATCTACAACTTGAAGACCTGGAAAACACTCTCCACAACACAGTGACAAGGAAAATGGCTTCAGCATCCTTCATACAGAGCATACAACTCAAATATCCCTTTCATAGTTACAATTTTTGCTTGCCGAGGTGACGGTTACAATGTCTTCGTCAAATATTTCGAAATTTTATTCACTAAAATAAGCGTTACTCCTTGAACACTCCTTGAAAATAGTAAGAAACAACTGATTTAACGGCTATTGTAACATGGAAGACCAGGGTACAGCTGACAAAACGAGAATCATCGCTGAGATCATTTTAACGGCACTGCCCTTGTAGAAATCCATACCATGTCCTGATCAAATGGATGCGTTTCATGCAACAGGTTCATCTTCCCATGTCAAATGACGAGCATCACATTATCAATACTGACCCAATATTGACACGATCGCTGCGGTTCTCAGGTTGCAGTATCGTTTTCTGCATGACCGACCAACTAGTTGTGATCTGTTTCTAATAGTAAAGTAGAACGCCTGTGAGGTGAGGTGAAATTGGGTTTTACGTCGTGCTTGAGAATATTTCTCTCATATGACGAAGAAGGCCTGTGGGGGTTGATAAGTAACTGTGTAGGAAATTCAAGAATTTGAAACTTTCTCTACAATTGTCTGTGACGGTTCAGTTTCGATATATGTTATACATTGTCATGATGTTCTTAGTTCTTCAATTATATTTCTAACGAAACTCCTAATTCATAACACGTTTTGGAAAGGTTGACACAATAATCACTGACTGAGTTTGGTTTTACGCCGCTTTTAGCAATATTCCAGCAACATCACGGCGGGGGACACCAGAAATGGGCTTCATACAATGTACCCATGTGGGGATTCGAACCCGGGTCTTCGGCGTGACGAGCCAACGCTTTAACCACTAGGCTACCCCACCGCCCCGACACAATAATCAAAGGGAGACACTGTTTAGTCCACCGAGCTTATTCCACGGCGTTCCAAGGGAGTACATGAATTCAGTAGGTGAACTTGTCGCATAAGAAGCAATAACAATAGTCGAACATATGAAAGTGGAAATTACCAACGGATATTGAATTTGAACGAGTATTTTGTTTTCTTCAAATCCGTCCGCGTTGATACAACACAGTGAACACATTTCTATGTTCATTCATTCTGTTTGTGTTTGAGGGGACAGATGTGTTTATGGGTAACTGTTTCATGAAATTCAAATTTTGTCTGCAACTGTATGTAACAGTTTTGCTATATCGAATCTATATCTAATATTATACACTACACGCCAAAAGAAACGTTACCCTCCTATCTTTATGAATTACTGAAAAACTATCAAAGATATGTTAGAAAGTATTAGTTTACAAGAAAACTTAAAAACACAGCTTTATGCAAATCACGAAAAATAAATTCTCAAATGCATTCATATTTAGGTAAAATGCATCCTTTTCAGAAGAGTTAAATTGTCCAATTTTCGTCCATGCCGAAATACACTAACAACATTGATTTAGATGTCCAAAAGAAAGGTTGTAATATAATTCTGCTTTGAGACAAAGATAAACAATTTATAGTCACCATTTTTCAACTATTAAAACAAGAAACAATTGTTGTAGAGTATGTAATATTGTAAAATAATCATTCCTATGCTTCCAGTCTTTTAAAACATTTTCTGCTGATTTGCATTAGTGAAAACAAGTAAAACGTGTCTTTGGTATTGTGAAAAAGTGTTTAGGAACATCTAAAATTAATTTTGTTAACAGTTTTGCTTGCAAAGTAACATTGTTCCATTTTCTGTGTAAAAATAGCAATATCAATCGCCAAAACGCAGCAATATTCAATTATAGTATTTGCAACCATTTTACGTGTAGTATGATTCTATAGGGTATGAAGAGAGCCTAGAATACATGATATGATAGACAAGTACGAGAAATATGCCACGATTAACAGCTGAAGAGAGAGAAAGAGCCATTGGGGTGGTGCAGATGGGGTCGATGTACAATGCTGTTGCCAACGCCATCGGATGCCACCGTATCATGGTTATAATACTTGTTCAGGGCTTCAGTCAGACTGGGGTCACCGTAGACAGACCAAGAAGTACACGTCCACGCATCACAACGCCAGCTGAAGATAGGTACCTCCGTCACTAAGGCAGGAGGGTAACATTTCTTTTGGCGTTTAGTGTATATCCCCGTCATTTTGACCATTTAAAAAAAATTAAAACCTTTAAGGTCATAAAACGAAATTTTCAGGTCTGTTTGTAATAGTGCTATACATATCTATGGGATAGATACATTCTGAATACCTTTCTCTATTCATTCATGCTATTTGTGGTTCTTCTATTTAGTCTGAGGGCACATCTTATTTATGCCTCATATCATATTTCCCCGTTTTGTTTTCAGTTTGTAAGGGCTATGGAATAGAGTCATAGAATGTCATGAAAACACCACATCATTCAATTTTGGGTACTTATAAACAGAGACCGTATACCGATATATGGTCTCTGTTTTAAACAATTATTTGCAACATGTAACATTTGGACTTAGAATTAGCGCGGCCACCACGTGGCCTAAATAGGCTACCACGTTTCTTTACTATAGAGAATCGGTGTTTATCAAATTCAGTATCTAAAGATGTTATATATAGTAGTATAAACACCAAAGTGTGTATTTGAAAAGGGAATGAACTGTATCCAGTATTGTTTAGATTGTTGATTAAACATTTTGGGAAATTTGTTTTATTGAAGATTACAATAGTTCGCCATTGTAATCTAGACATAATATTGTGGTAAAGCCACGTTAGAGTTATCAGAACGAAACTGTTAATCACTTTGTGGACAAATTGTAGAAATACGCTAATTGTACGCAAATCGTCAAACCGTCTCCATCTAGGATAGAACAAACTCAAAGGGACCACTAATTTTAGTTGGATGAAACCATAGTCATAGGCACTGTGACTATGCTGTGGCCGAAACACATGTGCAGTTTACTGTAATTAAAAGCAAAGAACAGTGCAAAAGAATTAGACATATTTAAATAAATATACATTGCTTCATGACTTCACAGATGGTGCAACATGCCGGGATTCAAGTCCAACGTTATGTATCAAGAGTCTTTGTGGAAATCCAGGTATCGCTGAACACTGCCGGAGGACGTGCGGTCGCTGTAACGTAACGGGTTTGTGTTGCTGTCTATATATTTGTATTCCTTCCAACTTGAACACATGCAGAGATGTATGACAAACCAACATTGATACAGTAATATGTGAATTGCTTATGTGGCATATTAAACAATGATTCAGTGTCAGTTAAGGCTATCCATGGTGAGATTCATAGTACCAGGGTGCCGTTGTACAAAGCGACCTTAGCGCTGAGGTGAGCGTAACTCCCATACCTGAACATAGACATAAGGTATTCTTAGCGCTAGGGTTGTTTTGTACAAGGGCACCCTGGCTTATCAACACCTTTTCACCTTAATCGTCAAGATATGTCAAATGATTGCCAATGCTAAAATGTGACCAACTGTATTAATGTTTGGTCATATTGTACTTGTTCACATCTGCTTCATTTCGCTTTGAAGATAACATGAATGAAGCTTCGAATTCCCAAATCGAAACAATTATGATCTTTTTCATAAAAAAAACCATAACCATTTTGGTTTGGCTGAAATATGATCAATATGAAATATGATGAAAAACTGCTGTAATTGTCTAAATCTGAGGTACTGCTTGTGCATAAACGTCATAACGAAATGACGGATAAATCCATAATTCATTTTTCTGTATTTCATTTTATTAGATTGTGCAGTAGGTATGTACAGGACTGGCGACTCCTGCACAGAATGTCAGAGACAAACTCAGGATGACCATGATGGATGTACCAGAACGTGTCCGGAAATGGGAAGATGGGGAGACGCATGTAGAAAACAATGTGGAGTTGGATGCCGGAGTCTGGTGTGCTATCAGTGGTCAGGGGAGTGTGTTGATGGTTGCATTGGGGGGAAATATGGACAACGTTGTGACCTCAACTGTGACCACTGTGGTGTCTGTGGCAATGGAGTCTCGAACTGTGACCGTGAAGATGCTTCTTGTATCTGTGGGTGTTCAGGAAACTTGTACGGAGTTAAATGTAACAAACATTGCAATAGCAAGTGTCTAAATACATCCTGCAATAGCACAACAGGTGCATGTACACATGGATGCCTAAAGGGTAGGTTTGGATCGCAGTGCAACACAGCCTGCAGTGCCACATGTCTTCACGGTACATGCTACCAGAATGGATCATGCATGACGTGTGTACAGGGATATCATGGTGAACAATGTCGGGAGAGGTGTTCCAGGAACTGTGGTATTGAGACATGTAGTAGAGATGGGAGATGCAGTCCTTGTAAACCTGGCTACTTCAAAACACACTGCCAGGAGAAATGCAGCGACAATTGTCTGAATGAAACATGCAGTCAGAACAACGGGAAATGTGATTATGGTTGTGTTTCGGGCTGGCATGGCGACACCTGTTCTGTTAAATGTCCTGAGAACTGTGCTACCGACAAGTGCAGCAGAGACAATGGTTCATGTTCAGAGGGATGTGTAGCTGGTGCTTACGGTCAGCACTGTACCCTGACATGCAGTAGCCACTGTACAGACATGGAATGTTCCACTAAACCTGTCTGTACTTTGGGATGTCAAGCAGGACTGTGGGGAGAATACTGTGACAACGAGTGTCCCGACCACTGTTCAGTGTGCAACAGAAGCACTGGGTCCTGCCTGGAATGTGAGCATTAACTATACTGTAACAAGTCTTGATATGATGACTGTCAGAAATGTATTTTGATATCCAAATGTAACTTGGGTAAAGTGTAATCCCAAATCCCAAATATAGCTTGTGTTACACGTGGAGCACGTTCTAAATATTATTGTATGTTCATAAGTTGAGGCTGTTATGAATTCTTTATTGTAAAGAAAATGAAAGTTGGATTTTAAAAACATAGTTGCCCTTATAAGATAATCTTAATAGTAAATGTATTTCTTTTCCTTTCTTGAAATACATTTTTACTCTTGTCGGACTATTATCAGGGTATATATGCTGTTATCACTTCCTGAATTCACAGCTAGTCACGGTCCTAACATAACCCAGATTATCGGGCCGGCAAAGCTTTGTATGCTAATCTTCGTTCTACTGGAGATTACCATGACAAGTGTAACACGACGGTGTTATGTGCCCTTTGATGTTAAGACGGTTTCTGTGCTCAGATTTGTGTTATGGGTCTATTTAAAGGTATTTATTTGTTATTTAACTAGCTACACATATTACAAATGGTAAAACAGAGGGCACAGCTTACAATTGCAGTCCTATTCTGAGGCTTCTTTAAGTAAATATTGCACTGTGAAACACATTGCATTGTTTCCAGTGTAAGTAAAGGGTAGGCTTGGCGAAATTTAGTATAGTATATTTAAGTTCATATCGAAGATAGAAGAATATCTAATGAAAGATATGAAAACAAATTGTCAAATAGCAAATGTCAGGTAATCAGTAAGCTGTGTCATATTCATCATGATGTAAAGAATATACATCGATATTATCCTCTCTCAAGCAAATAAAGCAAAATATCTAAAGAGGCTGTGGTGGACGTTAGTGAGTGTGTTTGTTTTAGGAGTTGTAGAACGAGTGGCACGAGATTTACGTAGATTTTCTCCAGCGTGACAAGAATCTCAATCCAAGTACAACTATTGCTTTCCTTACATTCATATTCCTTGTCCATGTTTCCTTGTGAAACTGAAAGTTGTACAGCATCAGAGATATAAGCTTTGTATTTATATGAAAACTCGGCAGATACTATCCATCACTCATCCATCCATCCATCCATCCATCCATCCATACACTCATCCATCCATCTATCCATACACCACATCCATCCATCTATCCATACACCACATCCATCATCCATAAATCCATCCATCCATCCATACACACATCCATCCATCCATCTATCCATACTACACATCCATCATCCATCCATCCATCCATCCATACACCCATCCATCCATCTATCCATACACCACATCCATCATCCATAAATCCATCCACCCATACATACATACATACATACATACATACATACATACATACATACATACATACATACATACATACATACATACATACATACATACATACATACATACATACATACATACACACACATACAGACAGACAGACATACAGACATTAGAATTATTCTGCTGTACTGTGCAGAGAAATATTACAATGCTACTGTTGTCATAGTTTCAGGGTCCCTTCACAGACTTGTCGTCGTCTTGCCAGCATGTCTCGGTGTTTTCATCCTTGTCATTGCCGTCATGATCGTCAGGTGAAATCTTTGCAAACTCTTTTTGATACAAGCGAAAGAAATTGCGCCGGGTCAAACCTTATAACATTAACAGAAATGCCTTCTTGGTCTGTGTGTATCTGAAACCTTTAACATATATTCATGAACACCTTTAACGACTTAACTTGTTTCTATCAGGAGGAGAGAGTGTACGTCTTGTCCGGGTTTCCACAGAAGTATATCACCAATCAACCCTGACAGCAGACCAGAAGAAATCTCACTGCAAGAGTTTAATGTATCACGCAACAGTGAAAATTCTCAGTATGACGTGATCCCGGATATAAATAACGACCTCGCTGTGGAAGAGAGAGACTACGAACAACTGCAAGCACCCCGACCAGACACTGGCTACATGCCGTTATTATATACTTGGCAGTGAGATAAACTTGAGTGTCAGTAAAAGATCCTCTATTTATTACCTGTGTCACTGCAATTTGATGATGTCATCAACAGTGTCTTATTACCTGCAACAATATTTCTATCAATATTGCGTGTATGTATATATTGTATATGATCTTTGAATGCTTTCCTGTATGACTATATGGTTTTCAAAATACGTACTTTTGTCCTCACAAGCACGGAAATGAGACATGAAAGGATTATTACGTGATGTCTTAAATGCAACTATATTCGTTGTGTGTCATGTAGAGTAGTGTTTGACAGTTCCTATGTAAATGGGCGGTGGGGTAGCCTAGTGGTTAAAGCGTTCGCTCGTCACGCCGAAGACCCGGGTTCGATTCCCCACAAGGGTACAATGTGTGAAGCCCATTTCTGGTGTCCCCCACTGTGATATTGCTGGAATATTGCTAAAAGCGGCGTAAAACTAAACTCACTCACTCCTATGTAAATGTCAGGAACAGCAACAAATATATCTCTAATTTTGTACAGAGTTGCTCACATATTTTTGTCAATAAATCATTATAAAGTCGTTTATTTACAATGCGTTCTTGATAGATTCCTTCGCCTTTCTGACGTGTTTGGAAATGGGCGAAAATCAAAATGTTATAAGATATTTGCATTTTTCCTTAACAGAATATACATGATACACTCAGTAAGGTCAGGTCAGCCCCCTCAGAAAAAAATTTGTTTCATTCACTGGTAAGAGTGGATGACCATTCATAAAGAATGGTGAATAAAAAGAGATTGGTACTTATTCCACTGTAGTATTCGACAAAATGCTTTGCCGCTTTGGGTAACCAAATGGAATATACTTAGAATCAGTGCACATCTTGACTGGACATGCGAAATACGTACAGGGTAGTCAAGTAATAAGTTGGAAATTACTCGACTTACATATAACGGTATGGTAGTTTTGGTTGTGGCAATTCTTCACAACTGCAGAAATGTTGGTACGTTTAATCCGAAAAGAATACATTTGATGAAGATGCTGATTTTGCAACACAGTAGGTGGGTGATTGTGTTGGAATGGGTACGAGTAGGGGGAGAGAGCGGTTGTTTGAAACATGATATACGTGAGCGTATACTGTGGAAAGGGATCCTGGGTAATGAATGACAGTAGCACAAAGATGGCTACATTATGCATAGTTATGGCTCCAAAATGTAATTTAAGAAAGAAATATGTATGGAAAGTGTTTGATGCAGACGCAATAGATTGTGGGTAGGTAGTTATATTTGTTATGAATGTTGTTGGAGTAAACTGTAGTTATATTGCTTTGTGAATATTGTACATACGCATCAGTCACTTTACTCATTTGTTTTTAGCGGTATGTAAAATACAAAAACAATTAACTCCCTTGTATCTTCCGGAAGTACCTGTACATGTGTTTCCCATGCTCAGTTCAAATGTAACCGCCGATGTGCGAAGAAGGTATATTAAACTTTTAACCCCAACTTGGATGCCTTTGTCGTTCATGAGTGAGAAGCACGATGTCAACAGGTTATGGGCCCAGGCAACGGTTGATGTTCGACGGAGAGGAAGAGAAATATGAACTATGGGAGGTGAAATTCCTCGGACATATGCGTTTGCAGAAATTATACGACGTGATATTACCGACCGAAGAGTCGTCAGAGAGCTCCCCTCTGCTAGCAAAAATGCTGATGCTTTTGCTGAGTTGGTGCAATGCCTGGACGATAGAAGCTTAGCCCTCGTAATGAGGGATGCTAAGGATGATGGAAGAAGAGCACTGAAAATTTTACGAGAACATTATTTAGGAGCGGAAAACCACGAGTCATCTCGTTATACACAGAACTCACATCGCTGAAGATGGGGAACGGAGTGTACAACTGACTATGTAATCAAGGCGGAGACTGCCGCGAATTCTTTGAAAATGGCAGGTGAGACAATTAGCGATAGCCTCTTGATAGCAATGGTACTTAAAGGTTTACCTTCTTCATATAAAACCTTTGCTATAGTGGTAACACAAAAGATAAGACCATGACTTTTCGGAGTTTAAAACGGCTCTGCGAAGTTATGAAGAGACTGACAAAATACAATATACACGTAAAGGTGAAGACAGTATTATGACATTCAAGTGTTATTCATGTGGAAAGCCCGGACATAGAGCATCAGAGTGTAGAAGAAGGAATCAGCAACAGACACAAGGACCAAAGAAGTATTATCCAAATGGAAACAAGAAACAAGGCCGATGGTGTGACATATGCAAAAGTCCAACACATGACACAAGATTTTGCCGGAAGAGAGATACTGCCAAAAGTGTGAGTAATGAGAAAGAAAATTGTGAGCCAGAACATTCATATTTAGCATTCAAGGTTAGTGTTCAAGATGAAACTGGGGATCTTCTTAACAATCTTCTTGTGGACTGTGGAGCTACAACACATATCATAACTGACAAAGACAAGTTTGTTAATTTTGACGAGATTTTCCGCACATCTGAACACTACATCGAGTTTGCTGATGGAAGTAGAACTAACGGGATTGTCCAAGCTAAAGGTGAAGCATGTGTTTCTTTGTGTGATGTCGACGGTAAGCAACACAAAGTGATTCTGGAGGATGCGTTATATGTTCCATCGTTCAACCAAGACATTTTGTCTGTGCAGGCAGCTACAAACAAGGGAGCAACCATCAATTTTAATCCTGACAGAGCATGTTTGAAGGCTCCAGACGGTACTACCTTCAACATACTAAAACATGGTAAACTTTATTACTTGAACAACACTGTTTCATCTAAATGTGTTACTCATTCAGCCCAAGACTGGCATAAGATTCTTGGACATTGTAACATGAAGGATGTCATGAAACTAGAAGAGGCAGTAAATGGTATGAAGATTGCTGGTAAGGCACAGAATGATGTATGTGACACTTGTGCTAAGGGAAAGATGTTCCAGTGGATAGATAGGAAACCTGACAAACGAGCAACTAAGACACTTGAGATGGTTCATTGTGACTTAGCGGGACCCATTGAGCCATCAGCTCGTGGTGGTTTTAGATATGTTCTATCATTTGTTGATGATTGCTCAAGTACTGTTACCTTGTATCTCCTGAAACAGAAAAGTGACACACCAGCAGCTACAGAAAAATTCTTAGCAGATATGGCACCATTTGGAAAAGTGGTCACCTTGAGGACTGACAACGGGACAGAATTCACCAGCGAGAAATTTAGGCACATTCTCATCAAGAACAAGATACGTCACCAGAGGTCAGCACCGTACTCACCCCATCAGAACGGAACAGTAGAAAGGGCATGGCGTTCCCTATTCGACATGGCGAGATGCCTCATCATTGAAGCCAAGTTACCCAAGACTCTGTGGTCATATGCTATCATGACTTCAGCGTACATTCGGAACCGGTGTTACAACAAGAGACTAAACAAGACACCATTTGAGGTTATGACAGGTCAGAAGCCAAATCTGTCAAATATGCATGTTTTCGGCACAGCTTGTTTTGCTTATGTTCAAGGGACGAAGAAACTGGACAATCGCAGCGAAAAAGGTGTTTTCGTTGGATATGATCGTGAAAGCCCAGCCTACCTGGTCTACTTCCCTCAACAGGATGAAGTCAGAAGAATAAGATGTGTGAAATTCACAGAAACATTTACAGAAACTGTTTATGAACCTGACTATGAGGAAGAACAGGAAATCTACAAGAGACCTGAGGCTGAAGAAACTAAAGAACAGGAGAAAGAAGAAACACAACATGAAGAGAACAAAGGTCCAATGACAGAAGGAAACCAAAAGCAACAAGAAGTCGAGCCAACGCGTAGATATCCCAAACGACAAACTACAAAACCCAAACGCATGGAGGACTATGTGTGTGAATCAGACATATCTGAATCTGAGGATAGTGCAATGTACACTGTACACTACTGCTACAAAATGGCGAGCATTCCAACTACATATGATGAAGCAATGTCATCGCCTGACAAAGAGAATTGGTATCAAGCAATGGAGGAAGAAATGACAGCATTACGTGACAATGAGACATTCGAAATCACCAACCCACCAGCAGGTAAATCGACAGTGGGGGGAAGATGGGTATTTGACATAAAATCTGGTCACGGCGGTGAGAGATATAAAGCAAGGTATGTAGCCAAGGGATATTCACAAGTTCCAGGCATCGATTACCATGAGACTTTTGCTCCTACTGCCAAAATGACCTCAATTCGGACTCTATTACAGCTTGCGGTTCAGCGAGATATGGTAGTTCATCAGATGGACGTCAAGACAGCATACCTGAACGCGCCAATCGACTGTGAGATATATGTTCACCAACCAGAAGGATTTGAGGTTCAAGGTGAAAATGGTGAAAAGCTTGTGTGGAAATTGAAGAAATCATTGTATGGTCTGAAGCAGAGTGGTAGAAATTGGAATTCATTGCTTCATACATTTCTCATAGAAAATCTGCAGTTTGAACAGTCACTTGCAGATCCCTGTGTGTATTGTCAGAGTATGGAGGGTTCTCCTGTGATTATGATAGTGTGGGTGGATGATATCATAGTTGCTGCTGAAAATGATACAAACCTTCAACATGTGAAAAATGTATTGTGTGAAAGATTCAATATGAAGGATCTAGGAAAACTGTCAAGTTTTCTTGGAATTGAATTCAGCTGGGAAGGAAACAGTGTGGAAATGAAGCAGACGAAACATATGGAGAAGATGCTGGAGAAATTCGGTATGAAGGACTGCAAACCAAAGGCCATTCCTTGTGAACAGGGTGTCGATAAATCAGGCGACGAGCTGACGACACAAACTTGATGATCCGAGACTGTACCGGAAATCGTAGGGAAGTTTGATTTATATCATGACTTCGACAAGACCAGACCTATGTTATGTCGTAACTAAACTCTCTCAATATATGGCCAAGCCAACATCAACTCATCTTGGTATGGCTAAACAAGCATTGAAATACATCAGAGGCACCAGTGACAAAGGTTTGAAATATTTTAAATCATCTCTTCCACTTGAACTTGTGGGATATTCAGATGCAGACTGGGGATCATCACCTGATAGGAAAAGCATTACTGGTTATGCATACCGGTTGAGTGATAATGGAGCTCTGATTTCATGGAGAAGTAAGAAACAACCAACTGTGGCGCTGTCAACCTGTGAGGCCGAATATATGGCCATGGCAGCCTCAGTACAGGAGGGTAAATTTCTCCGACAATTGTGGAAAGACATGAGTGGAGACTGTGACTCATTTACTGTAATGGTCGATAATCAGGGCGCAATTGCATTAGCAGAAAACCCTGTGACCCAGCAGAGGTCCAAGCATATAGACATTAAATACCATTTCATTAGATCTGAAGTCCAGAGCGGTATGGTAGAACTTGCATACATTGCGTCAGAACTGAATGTGGCTGATGTCTTCACCAAGCCGGTGTCATCAATCAGACTGAGAAGACTTGTCAAACTCAGTAACCAGTAAGACATTGATCATGTGTATATAGTACATAACTACAGTTCAAGTGGGGGTGTTGGAGTAAACTGTAGTTATATTGCTTTGTGAATAT